CCGGCCGCGGCAGCGGCAGCAGCAGCGCCGCCACCCGCTCCGTCAGAAGATTCGCCGGCCGTCCTGCCCGCAGAGTGAGCAGAGTGATGCCGGTCGACGTGTCCCAAGTCCCGCCCCGGCTCGATGACATCCCTCACTCGCCGCTTGAGTTCCTTGGTCTCGGGGACCCCGCCGTCCGCCTTCCTGTCCCAGAGCACGGTGCTCACGGCCGGGGCCGCCTGGTCCTGCGGCTGGTGGTGGATGGTCACGACGAAGGCGCCCCCCGTCGAGGGCTGCAGCGAGACCTCCCCCAGGGATGTGGAGAACGTGGACAGGAGTTCTTGCGCGAACTGGTCTTGCAAAATCAGTCTCTTGCTCCTCCTACGCAAGACCGAGTCTCGCGTTTCAACGTGCGAGGCGTGCCGAGGACCGGTGAAGAGACGTAGAGCGGGGGGCGCGTGTACAACGCGAGGGGGGGAACAAAGTACGTACGTACGCCGCCCTGAGCATCCACTTGCATTGCGTGCAGAACTGGATAGTCACTCGCGGGAACCGGGTTTCGTAGTCTGCGCATGCAGGCGCGCTGGTCGGCTCGGCCATTTTTTCTTTTCTTTTTCTGGCTTGTGTGTCGGGAATGGACTGCTCTGGTGCTGAGTATGTGCTGCCCGATGCTGCGCTAGCCTGGATCACTAGAAAGATCCTGGCGTGCGAGGGCGGCGAATTCGAGTGATTCAGTGACGGATGTGAACCAGGTGTAAGTTATATCGACCATCATCTGCGGGCGCTGCTGCGTATCCAGATTAACTTTGAACCCACTTTGAACTGGGCGCTCCACTATTTCCACGCATGTCGTCGTCGTTATACAGGCAGCACGACCAGAGGTCGATACCGAAGACTCGTCGGCCTATTGCAGAGGTTCTGCTTTGTGGCTTGGATCGGACATGAATTTGGTGCTACGACGAAGCATATGCCAGCTATCCGGAGAACGGTTCCCGGTGGCCTGGTCTTAGAACCTGGCTGCTGAGTTTTGAAGCAAAGAACAGACTGGCAAAGATAACACGCTGCACGTCGCTTTGTAAAGAATTGTTTCGATTCATATGTGGCGTATTGGGACTTGGGAGCATGCGGGACACATGTGTTTTCACAACAAACAAATAGAGGCAAAACCAGGTTCAATGAATCTTCATCATGTTCACTTGCACTTGAACATTTAATGAACTTGATTGTGTACCAAACATGAATAGATACGCAGACATAACGGACACAAAGAAAAAAAAGACCAGTAAGAAAAAAAAAGAAGGGAATTAATACATGCTGAAGAGCCGGTACTCCCAGGCCGATGTTTGCCTCTTCTTGCCCTCATATGGCTGCGTCTGTACCTCCGCGCACGGATGAGACAAGGCCACGAAATGGTTCGCTTCCTGTCTTCCTAGGGGTCTTTCATATTTGTGCGCAGTCAATGGGTCAATGGAATAAACAGAATTCCAAGTATATGCTTCGCCGGTGGCCATATTTCCAGACGCGTCGCCTTGCTTCTCTTTTTGCTTGATTGTTTTGCTCTTCATTTGCCGCTCAAGGGGTATGCTGCCTCTGTGCTAACTCGGCACAAAAGCTTCGAGAGGGCTCTCTATCCATGGACCCAGCCAAGGATCATGACGAGTATGTTTGTGTGAAAATTGTGTAACTTGGTACGCCGTATCCGTCTTTCCCACCCAACCGTCCCAAATTTCTCCTCGCCCTTCACCTCCAAGCGCACCGTTCCGGATTAAGATATAGAACACGTTAGGGGACTGATCGCTGCTGCGGCCGGCGCCGGTGCATGCCGCACCTCCCAGCCATTGATAAATAAACAAGAACAAATACCCATCGTAGGAGGTCGTTGGCTGGTAACTTTTTTTCCTCTACCGCGATAAAATCGACGAGGAACACTGGTTTACATGACGACACAGCAGCCGCCAGATTGTTGCGGTGCATAGGGGTCCTCGCCCTTAGGAACCGAACCCCATACGGATGGGACCATGTAATCCCTTGTTCCATTGCAGTAAGCAATGATGCTGTTTGACGAACGCAGGTAGTGTCAGTTTCTATTGCCATCCCAAGAGTGTGGTCATGCAGGCAAGTCACCTGCATGTATTGGTCGCCTTGTTCATCAGAGTAGTTTCTCACCTCTTGGCAGCTGTGCTGACCGGAATACGCTCGCGCTCCAAGTCCTCTCGCAGGCGGTTGTTGAGCTCTGTTAACCGTCTCAGTTTTAGGTCTGCCATGGACTGTTTCGTCTTCTTGATCTGCGACGGGTCGCCGACATCTCGCGAGGTGTACTGAGGCATCTTGATGGCGGGAAGAAAAGCACGACGCAAAATTAAATTCAAGTAGAATGTCAATTAGACACGAGGTGCCGAGGAGGAGGGAGGCTGCGCAGTCTTGAGGACGCAAATCAGGCAGGCGGCGGACGCGGCAGACAAAACAAGCCAAGCGCGAAGATATCGACCGAGTCGCGGATAAAACTAAATTTGATGCAACCAGGCGTTAGTGAGACGTATCGTAGAGCGGTCAGTCGGCCACCAAAAGTACTATTCTTCCTCAGAGGCTCGAATTGTCGGTTATGGATTGAGGCTGGGGCTTGGTTGGTGACAAGACGGCGCTGAACGACTGAACGAAGACACACGGCTGCAAGCAATGGCCAAGGCAAAAACAGCCGACATGTGCCGCACTCGACGGCGACAAGTCGCAGCGACAACGTTGGCTGGGTAGTACTGTGTCGTGCAAGTGGTGCTAGGATGCAAGGACAAGAAATCGTGGATCGGTGATAATATTGCTGTTGTCTGATTCCCCCAAGTTGGCGAGCAGAACAGAATCGGAGCTCAAATTGCCCAAGCCTAGTTTCCGGCCCCCCTTATTCGTCCGCGGAAAGTTGCTAGGGAAAAAACACATTTGCCCGTCGAATGCGAAGGGAAAGGGCGCTCAAAGCTGTGCAATTGCAATGCGAATGAATGGAAATAGGCCACTTACCGATCGACCAGGCCCTGGCGGATCGCGAGCAATAAACTGACAGAGGCGCGGAGGGGAGACGAAGGGAATGGGGGAGGAGGAGGAGAAGAAGATACGACCAGGCGGGACTTGACATGAAGCAGAAACTGGCACCTGGGCGGGAGTGAGTGAGTGCAGGGCAGTGGGCAGTGGGCAGTGGGCAGCACGTCGCTTGTGGGCAGCCAGTGGACTGGTCAACTAGTCTCTTGTGCTTCAAGTGGGCAGAAATAGCCAGGCCGCACTGGGACCGGACCAACTGGCATCTGGGCAGCAGCGCGCCGGGCAAATTAGCATGCCCACCGCTCGTCGTCTCCAGCTGTCATCTGTTTGCTGTCGGCCCTCTGTGCCTCTTGACCTCTTGGCTCCCACCAAATGGAACGAATGGACCAATGGAGAGCTTGAATGGCAGGAGGAGCTCAAGCTCGTTCGCTCCTTCATTCTGCAGGTGCCCTGGATGCGCCGGGCGCGTGGGTGGAGCCCATCATACTCACATTCTGTCGTGCGCCGTCTCATGGACACCAAGCAAGGGGAACAGTTGGCTGCTTTGCCTCATTCTCATTGGCCCACTGGCTACAGACCACCCGCTCGTGGTTTAGCGTCGTCGCCGCTCTTTTCAATTTGCCCCGCCATTTCGTCTGGAAGGGAAATTTGATTCTGACGACTCCAGTCTCTTCTCGCGGGGCAAGAGGCTGCGTCGCAGACTCCCCTTTTCCGTCACGATTGTACAGAAGACTGCCCATCGCCAATCTTCTTGAAACGTATGCGGTTGTTGCCGCCTTCAATGCTTCGTGGACCTATCAAGCTGAGTGCTGAGGATTCTATCGCTTTGCTCTGTGCTCCGTGCTGCTACCCTCCGCCTTGCCTTGCTAGCCTTGGGGGTGGGCAGTCGTGACCCCAGAAATGGGGCAATAAGAGTTCGGCAGCATCACGCCATGAAATTCACTGTAATAAGAACGAGGCCAAGAAGATCGTTTTACATTGCATCTACGGAGTACCTTTCGTAGAACTCGAGTTTCATGCAAAAAGTATGGAGTAGATACGACATTTTATGCGTTGGAATGCGGCGATGTGTCAGGTAAGATGCATGCATTTCTACGCCGTATGTCTCGGCCTATCTTTATCTAGTGCCTTATGTTTCCTTTGATCCAGCTGGGAGGAAAGAACCGGCAGATGTAAAGGCTAATGGCAGCCGGTGATCGTGGTGCCTAATTGCAAGCTTGGATCTTCCTCCTTTTTCGAGTTGGTCAGCTTCATCGTTGTACCGCAAGACCGCAGACCGCAATTCTACGCGGACGAAATAGCTACGCACACCTCATGCTATACTTACATACCACGCCTGCAACGAACTGTTCAGCACTGACGCTCTCCCTTTCCAGAACGGCACGATTGTGGAGTGTTTCCAGCATGCCAATATTCGAGTGTTTGAGTTGGTGCACATAAAAACGGTGCCGTGGTTCGGCTTTTGCATGAGTCGGCGAGCTGTACTCTCTTCAATCGCCCGTGTCAATCTCTAGGTCCAGTTGAACGCCGTTCGAAATTCCATAGTCTTCCAACGTAATGTGATCTTTGAATGGCCGTTCTCCCTGTCTCCGTAGCATAATTTGACTGGGCTCACGCCCAATTCGAGCTGCCACCATGATCTTGAACTGACCAACCGTATCAGAGGGTAGGCATGGGACAGCAGACTTGCTTCCCAAGCGGTCATTAACATGAACAATGATCATTTCCTCGCCTCCGGTTGTCGGAGCCGGTGTAGGTTTGCTGATCTTCTCTTTCCTGCCATCCGCTTTGTCGCGAGAGTCTCGGTCGTTTCGACGTGGTGACCGTAAGCGGCCTGGTCCTCTGTGGTTGCTGTCGCGATTGCCGTCGCGATTCCGGTCTCTATCCCCAGGCCTGTCCCTATTTCTGTCGTGGTCCCGGTCACGATCTCTGTCTCGGTAACCTCGCCCTCTGTCCCTGTCTCTAGAGCGGTCGCGGAAGTCTCGACGATGTCCATCATCTCGATCATCATTTCGTCGGATATTGTCCTTCCATCTAAACCCGCCACGTTTGGGCCGTGGTCCTCGGCGCGCTGGTGACTGAGAACGAGATCGTCTTGGCGTGTCGTCGGCCATGATGATGCAAGGCCACCTTAGCCGATGTAAGGCTTTTTTCGGTTGTCTCAAGGTTTCTCGGTTATGGTTCGCAAGGACAAATTGACGAGTCCAATTTCAACCTTAAGGCTCAAAGCTTCGTTCAATGGGTGGGGCCCAAAGAGTCCCGAGGCAGTCACCCCCTTTTGTCACGTGACTCACACAATCAGTGCAGCCCCTCAGCGCTCGGATAAGCGTCCACACACGAAAATTGAAAATTCCTCTTTGCCGTGCCTCGCATCAACACCACGAGTCCCTAAGTGCCCCATTATTCGCACTCAGGCTTGCGACGGCTACGCATAGCCCTCACATCTCCTCGCCTTAGAAAGCCAACCCACAGAGGAGGTTGCCCAGCATGGTACGTCGTCATCGAAGCAAAGACGAACAATCTCCCCCTCCCTGGCTTTGATGTTCTTATGTTGCCGTCATCGTCGCTAACCAACGTGGCCAAATATAGCCGCCTCCGCCGCACCAAAAACCCGAGAATGTGCTGAAGCGTGCTCACGAGCTCATCGGCGTCAACCAGGCCCCCGCGGCCCTGAACCTGCTTCACGAACACGTCACCAGCAAGCGTTCCCGAAATGTTCCCATCGCCTCGTTGGAGCCTGTGATGCTCCTGTTGGTGGAGCTGTCCGTCGAACAGAAGAAGGGCAAACTGGCCAAGGACGCCCTCTACCAGTATAAGAATATTTCTCAGAACACCAATATTGGCACTATTGAGGTTGGTTCCCTTCCCCTTCGCCCTCCCGAAACGACGTTGCAAGAGGGAAAAAAAGAGAAGCGGTAAAACCAGAGTACCAATTTAGTAACACCTCGATAGCTTGTCTTGAAGAAATTCATCGAGTTGGCCGTTGAAAAGGTCACCGCTGCCCAGCAAAAGGCCGACGAAGTTCAGTCTAGCATCGATGCTACTGCTACTACGAATGTCGACGATTTGGAAGCCACCGAGACTCCGGAGTCCATCCTCCTTGCTACTGTCTCTGGAGAACAGTCCCGCGACCGCACTGACCGTGCCATCGTCACCCCTTGGCTCAAATTCCTGTGGGAAGCATACCGAACCGTTCTCGATATCCTCCGCAACAATGCTCGTCTCGAAGTTCTTTACCAGAGCACTGCTATGCAGGCTTTCGATTTCTGCCTCAAGTATACCCGAAAGACCGAGTTCCGACGTCTTTGCGAGCTTCTGCGAAACCATGTTCAGACTGCCGCCAAGTACTCCTCGCAGATGCACGCCATCAACCTCAGCGACCCCGATACTCTTCAGCGTCATCTCGAAACTCGTTTCCAGCAGCTCAACGTCGCCGTTGAGCTCGAGCTCTGGCAGGAGGCCTTCCGCAGCGTCGAAGACATTCATACCCTTCTAAGCCTGTCCAAGCGCCCTCCCAAGAATGTCATGATGGCCAACTACTACGAGAAGCTTACTAGAATCTTCTTGGTCGGCGAAAACTACCTGTTCCACGCTGCTGCCTGGTCCAGATACTACACTCTGCTCCGGCAGTCTTCCGTCCTGGTTGCCAGCGGACAGGGCAAGAAGGCTGACAACCCTCCTGCTTCCGATGCCGATCTTCAAAAGGCTGCTTCTTTTGTCCTTCTATCTGCCCTAGCTATTCCGGTCATCAGCACCTCTCGATCTCGCGGTGCTATGGTCGACTTTGACGAGGCCAGAAAGAACAAGAACTCCCGCCTTACTCACTTGCTGGGTATGACCCAAGCTCCTACTCGTAACAGACTCTTCCGTGATGCTCTGTCCAAGTCCCTACTTCAGCGTGCTCGCCCTGAGATCCGGGATCTCTTCAACATTCTGGAGGTTGACTTCCACCCTCTGTCAATCTGCCAGAAGATCTCCCCCATCTTGACAAAGATTGGTGAAGATGCTGAGATGGAGCGATATATCGTCCCTCTTCAACAGGTCATTCTTACACGACTTTTCCAGCAGCTGTCTCAGGTCTACGAAACGGTTGATCTGTCCTTTGTTGAGACCCTTGCTCAGTTTCCGGAGCCTTACCAGGTTACCCGTGGCACTATTGAAAAGTTCATTATGAATGGCAACAAGAAGGGCGATCTTGCCATCCGTATGGACCATGCAACTGGCGTTCTCAGCTTTGACAACGATGTCTTCTCTTCTGCCAAGGCTGGATCCGCTGGATCCGCCGAGTCTGAGACTGGTACCGTCCAGCGTCTGCAGAGCACTCCCTCTGACATTGTCCGCTCACAATTGACTCGCCTTGCTCGATCGCTGTACACTACCTGCCATTACATTGACCCCAACTTCAATAAGGAACGGGCAGCTGCTAGACAAGCTGCTCTGCAGCGAGCCAAGGCTGGCGCTGAGCAAGAGCGTCAAGACATCCTTGCCCGCAAGGAGACTATCCAGAAGCGCAAAGAGGAAGCATCTGAGCTCCAGGCTCGTCGGGAAAAGGAAAATGCCCGACAGAAGCGTCTCCGTGAGCAGGCTCTTCAAGAGGCCGAGGACAAGAGACTGGCTGCCGAGCAAAAGGAACGCGAGGCTAAGCGTCTCCAGGCTGAGCGTGATCGAGTTCGTAAGGATGAACTCAAGAAGCAGATTGCCGAGCTCAAGATGTCTGACAAGGTCTTGGACATTGACCTTGATGACCTTGACAACCTTGACACCAACCGCCTTCGTGCCATGAAGCTTGCTCAGCTAGAGCGTGAGAAGAACGATGTCAATGAGAAACTTCGCATTACTGGCAAGCGGTTTGATCATCTGGAGCGTGCCTTCCGTAAGGAAGAAGTCAAGAAGCTGGGTGAGGACTATGCCAAGCAGGTTGAAGTCGACCGTACAATCTACGAAAAGGTCAAGGCAAAGACCCTCAAGGAGGCGGAGGAGAAGCACAAGGAGAGTGTTGAGCTCAAGCACCGTCTTACCCGCCTTGTTTCATACTACGAGGATTTCAGAAGCTCTCTGCATGAGAGGCGTCGTGATGAGTTTGAGAAGCGCCGTAGAGATGCAGAGCGTGAGTTGGAGAAGCAGATTGCCGCTCGCAAGAAGGAGTTCCGCGACCGCAGGCTGCGGGAGAAGAGAGAGCGGGAAGAGAAAGAGCGTGAGCTTCGTGAGGCTGAAGAGCGTGCTGCTCGCGAGAAGGAAGAGCAACGTCAGCGTGAGGAGGCGAGAAAGGCCGAACTCGCCAAGCTCAAGGAGCAGCGAGACAAGGAGCGTCAAGAGATGCTTGAGAAGGCTGCCCTTCAGCAGCGCCGTGAAGAAGAAGCCTTGGCTCGCCGGAAAGCCGAAAAGGGAGCGGGTGCGGCGCCCTTACGAACGGAGACTCCAGAAGGCCGGAAACCTCCTGTCATTGGATCCGGCAGCTGGCGCGAGCGTGAGGCATCCAAGAATGCCGCCGCCGCTGCTGCTGCTGGCGCCGCGTCTACCTCTGAATCCCGGCCCGGACCTGCCATGGAACGCACCGATTCCAACGACCGCCCCTCTGGGCCTCCTCGCCTGCAGCTCGCCGGCTCCGGCAACAAGCCTAGCTGGCGTGACCGTCAAGCAGCCAAGGGCGATGCCCCTTCATCATCGGACAATACTCCCCCGCCCGCTACTTCAAGAGGCTTTGGCGGTCCCCGTGGTGCTGCTCCCTCTATGGACCGTGGTGGCTCAAACCGTGGCGACAATGGCCGAACATCTTCACCTGCTCCTCAGTCTGAGTCTTTGCCTCCTCGTACTGCCGGCAAGTGGGTTCCTCCTCATCTGAGGAACAAGGCTTAAACGACGTAATGATGGCAACATATATTACAGTGACCGAAGTTGAAAAAAGAAATGGCACAAAGGGCTGAGCAGATATTGGATGCAATGTGAAGGGAAACGACTACCCCCATATCTATGTAGTTGAAAATGAAGGAGGAACGAGGAGGGATTGCTGTTGGGGCTACTTCTTGTTGTGTGCTGAGCAGTTTTTCGTATCGTGTGTATTTGCATTGGCGTTTTTGGGGGGGACGGGAAAGAATAAAGGGCTGCGGAGGAAATGTACTCTAGAGCTCAGTATAATCTCCCTTCTCTCTTGAGGGTACGAGCAGTATTCAGAATGAGGTACACTCCAAACCGAATTACTTGCGAGGTGTCTGTGAATTTTTCGCCCACCGCCGCTCAAAACCGGTTTGACCAAAGCAGTGATGACTACGTGGTGTGCTGAAGTCGTCGTCGAGCGTCGTGAAATGTTCTAAACGAGCAGAGATGAGGCCGCGTATATTCTGTATCGATATACCTGTGTTGTGGCAAGTCCACGAACGGCCCATACTAGACGTAATAGCCGATAAGCAGCACCCTCTTGCTGCTTCCATACTTGTCACTTTTTCTCTGTTTTCCCAGCCACTGCCCTATACCATCAGGATCTACTCTGGAGAAGTCTTTACTGGTCATGTTGGGTTCCAAGTGTACTCGGCTTGGTATATTTGGTGTTGACTGACATCTCCGTCGTCACCAGCGTGCCCCATCTCTCGCGCACAATGAAATTGAAATTCACTGCCAATCCGAGCCTTGCTCCCCGCAGTCCGATCACCTGCCAGACGGGTCATCCCGGCGGGTGACAAGAACCGACGTCCCAACAATGCAAACTCGAAAAAAAAAAAACACCAACGGTGCCCCCATCCATACATACGTCCCAAAAGCACGCGCCTCCTCTCTGGAACAAAACACACAACCTCCCCTACTCTCACGCACTACCAAAGCCCCCGAAGAAGAAATGAATTACAGCGTGCAACGCTTGCCATGGCCTCCGCGTAGATGCAGCAACCGCAAGCGGCCACCCGTCCCGGTGGTCACCGCAAATACACCAACATGGGCCATTTGAAGCCCAGTGCTACACACCGACCGCGTGGCACAGACATGCACGAGAACACCACAAGACCTTGCCACCGGAACTGGGCCGGCAGAGAAGAAAACTCACTACCATTATTACAAGAAAAGCAGTCCGTGCAAGACTTCATGTCCCTGCTTTTGAATGTTGCGCTACCGCCCATGTGTCGGTTGGGGGGTTGTTGGGATGTGGTTCTGGTCAATTGGCCAATATATTGACATCTTGGATTCTACGTATCTTAGGCATTCGGTAATGCAACATGTTTGTCAGTCGATAGTAGACAGGCGCAGCTGAATAGTGTAACCCAGCCGTTGCATGTGCAGCTGCGTGTTCAGCGGCACCCGGATGGATTGCCAATTTGGAACTCCGTGTCTTCATCTGCATGATGAGAGAGGTTCAAGGCGCGAAGGGAGTCAGGATGATGCTGGTCTTGCATGCGTTGACGAGGCAGCCCGGTGCGCATCGACTCGTCATCCAACTGCAATACGTAGGCTAGACCTTTTGTCGCTTCACGGCAGCAACACCCAGATATGCAGGTGTATGTGCTCTCTATTGCTGTTCACACTTTCTAAAGGCCCAATGCTTTGCCGCATAACTATTACAAGACCAAAACGGCAACTTGCAATCCGAGAATACGAGGCATCTAGCGCGCATAATGGTCATTTTCCTGCCGCCGGAAGGGGAGCTGGAAAAACATGCGGTGGGCAAACGCATGGGGAGCGCATGTCTCTCGGTACATGCCTGCATTTCCGGTGCGTAAGCTTGCTGAAAACACCCAAAAAAAGAAGCAACACAAGCGGAGTCACCGTCCATATTCTGTCTGGGGGGGAGAATGTCTTGGGCACAATGGGAACGGAACAGTGAGCAAATATCATGTACCTGGCACGCTAAATGGAATAGTTGGCCGAAGAAATAAGAGAAGATGTCGTTGTTCTGCATGGGTCGATGCAGGAATAATTGACATTCAGGGAGCGTTGTAAGCAACGAGCCGTGCATGCATGGAGCTGGAAGCAAATCGTGCAGGGTATATCAAGAAGCCACGGCAGTGTTTGGCCGCTTGCTCCTTTGACACCCGTTGGACGACGAATACGAAGGCTGCCATGGTTGAAAAAATCGGCACCTACTCTGCACAATGAAACGGACCGTCGGGATGCTCGAGATCCGGCAGAATATTGGTCATGCCCGCTGTACGTTGTAGAATGGAATCACACGATGCTCGCCTATTATATGCAGTTGGCTTGCGGGTCCCCGGGCCCGATCGAAACCGTTGCTCGCATACAGAGTATTCCTCAACAACTTGTCTGGCCAATATGGTTCGAGCAGAAATACTGGTGAACCATCTTGGCCTTTAGTGTGTGATGAACCAAGTTAAGAAAGTAAATCATCTGTTGGCTTGTTCGCCCCCGTGCTTAGACTTTTCCAGACAATGGGGCAGGTTTTTTAGCAAGATATGCACATCTGCCAACGGTCCCTCGGTTTTAGTACTCCTTCTGCCAATATTGTTCTTGACAATACTACGGAGTACCGAATGAACCCTGAGGTTGGATGGGACTCAGTGATGTGGTGGCTTGCTGGTGAAGAACCACAGCAGCCACAGGAACAAGGGGCACCTATCCATCCAGACTCCGAGTGGGTAAGGCTGGTCTGGTCTGGTCTGGTTTCGTTTGCTCCATTTCTCCGTCTTTGTTCATCCTCTCTAGGTACTAGCCGTTGCCTCCATCAGGTAAGCGAGAAAATCCTGTCATCAGCCCCGAGGCTCCGACATCAAAAGCGATTATGGGATCGCCGACGAGAAACAACGGGGGCCTGAGACCAGGCCAACAAGGAACAGAAGCAATTATTGAGGCTGTCGGGCGAGGCGGCATTGATGGATAGGTGACCGGCCTATCGGTCCAGTGCCATGTTCTGTTCCTTGACGATGTAGCAGTCTGCAAAATGAAAGATTAGCGGTGATACAGCACCTTGGAGTGTCGATTACCATACAAGACCCATTTGGTCAAGGTGTCAAGGGGTCAAGGGAGTGCTGCGGTCATCGTCTAATCGTTGTCGTTGGAGGGATTACGGAGGTTGTTTCGCGGGCCGAGACTGGCAACAATTGGAGTACCATCGCTCTTTCCGCCAAACTGGGAGGGAGCATTTTGGCCTAATGCGCCAGGGGTAAATACAATCCTTGTTGGTATCAAAGTCCCAAGGCCATGACAGAATACCAAAGAACGAAGCGTTTTGCCAGCCCGCCCGATCTTGCTGTTATTTGTTTTGTCTGTGGGGGAACTTCTCTGGACTACATGCAGTATTCAGTGACTCAGCAGGATGTCTCGTTGATCACATCACGGTTACCTTGTGGCTGAAAGCCGAGCGAACGACAGTACGCTTTTTGGAGAACTGGCCAACGCCTATCTGATAGGTTCGCACAAGCTGGACAGTCCAAGTGTTGGCCATGTCTTGGATCGGCAGGGACGCCTTCAAGCCGCCGTGTAGCCAAGTCCGTCCAAAGCCCACGAGTCTCCCATGTTTGAGGCTTAAACAGCACAACTAATACAAAACCAAGAAACCTCTCGGAAATCAACCTTTCCCGTCTTGTATGGAGTACAATAAAAAGCAATGCCCGTCCCGGAGGGCTGAACAAGCAAAATCGAGCCAGGGCACGGCAAATGTCACCTAGAAGCCGAACTGGTTAGTCCCTGGATCTGCGCAGTGTGGGTAGTTGTGGGTAGTGGCCAAAGCTGAGTCGATGGCTTCTCATTTCGGGCGGGAGCAAGACACTAGCACCTCATGCTGCCTTTGCGCCGACGCCGTTTATGATGAAATAAGGTCTAGCGGCCCTGCCGTGTTGACGCCAAATCCGGCCTACGGGGGAGCCCCGTGAGCCCGGCATCCGACTATGGCACATCCAGCAGGTCACTTCTGATATCTTGTGATTAATATTGATTCTTTCAATAAGCTATTCTTGGCGTAATACCCTTTCAGATCTTTTGCCAATATTATGCGGTCAACCGCTATCAAGGGACGACTTACCGAATACATGTCACGGTATCAATGAACCAACATGATGTTAGAAAATGGCTCTTGCGGAGCTCAGATGGGGTAACCATGGTAATGGCTTACATGCTTGAACAGACAGTGTGGCAACCCAAAAAAAAAAAAAAATGAATCGCGAGGCAGCTGAGTAAGGGTCATGGCATGATAGACACATCCAGGCAAGCACCGTTTCAAAGGATCTTCTGGATCAGCCCCCCATCTGACGGGTAAGTATACCAAATATTTGGTGTAGGACGCGGGTTGAGTTAAAGTCTGGGAAGGAGGTGACTGCTCCATTGTGTTGTTGAATTTCTCTTCTTTTTTCCTTGCCTTCGGAATCTGCAGGTAGCGGACCACAACTGGGGCGTGGAGGCGAGAGGACGGGAAGATGTAGGCAGAATTTAACCTACAAAGCGCAATTTCCATTGTACTGTTCAACGGCTTGCCAGGTCAGCGACTGCATGGATTCGTATTCGACCTCGCAACGTTCAGCGTGGCGCAACAACCGTCTAGGGACACCCGCAGCCACTCCAATAGGCAACAAGTGGTGGCTGACTCTTGTCAAGCATGTCTTACCATACTCGGAGAATAAGATTGATTGTGGCTAAGAATAACTTGACTGGGCTACAGGTCTTCCACGTCAGGGTTTGGCCCAGACAGAGGGTCATCAAAGTGGTCACAGTGTGGCTCCCGACAACCAGGAGAAAATTCTTCACGTAGTACGGGTTACGGGGAACTTTCCTCCATGGCACAAGAGTTCAGTGATTGAAAGTCATTCAGAGCAAAGGCCAGCCGACGATGATACCGACACGCATAGAAACAAGTCGAGGAAACCACCAAGGTCCAAAATGGTTCACGCAAAGAAACAAAGGTCTCGCGAGCCATATTACCGAGC